TGAAGTTCATAAATTTCATTCCAAGTATTTCATTACTCAAGATCACATCAAGGAAAAAAATAGATACAAAGAAGACTTAAAGTTGCAAGGAAATATAGCATGAACTACAACGAGCAAGAAAACAACTCTAAGAAAGGAAGAAAGCAAGACTACCTCAAAGCCTACACGATCATAGACAAAGCATAAAGAAAGGGATAAATAGATTGGTGAGTGTTTAGGATTCATTGTCAAGGTATTTATAAATCCAATTGAAACTCATCTCTATAGGACCATAAATATAATTCATCATTCATATGTTCTTTTATCCATTAGTAATAGACTATACACGTTATTTATATATAATTGACATATGGAGTCTTTGCTAAGGAATGAGTTTGTTTAAGTTTGTTTAAGCCTTGAAAGAACTCATCACTTGGGCTATCAATACTAGGACCATGCACATTAATCTCATGATTTATGTTGGTCACTAGAAAGTAGAGTCTAAGGTTTAGAACTTAATTACTCATCAATAAAGCCTTGGTAAAGGACATTAGGACACAAATATGTGTCTCATGAAAAACTGTATTTTTTGCTAAGTATGAAAAATGGCTAAGTGTGAAAAATGAATTTTTACAATAATAATTATTTCAAAATAATTTTTCCCGATAATAACTCCTTACACTTCAAATAGTCTAAACTGATATTATAGGATTTTTTTCATTAATTCTACATGAGCCTACACGGAAGATTAGGTTTTACCAAAATTGTCGGGAACCCCAATTTGTACTAAAACTGATTTTCTACATTTTGATTTAGTTGGATTTCAATTTTCTTATATTTTTTATTAAATCCAAATGGGAGTCCTTATTTACATTGTAAACTTAAAATAAATGGACATATAAAAATAGTAAAGACATTATAGTACTACCAAGTAGTTTTCATTTTTTGGACAGCAACAATATTGTACATGAATAATAGTATACGTGAACAGTACTATATGAATAGTACTATACATGAATAGTATCGTATGTGAACAATACCCAAACGGAATACCGTATGTCATTGTATACCTCACCTCTTTGCAGATGTCATTGCATACCTCACTTCTCTGCAGATGTCATTGCTTACCTCACCTCTGTAAATGTCATTGCATACCTCACCTCTACCAACTATATTGACCTTCTCTCACTATAAATACGGGCTAAACTTTGAGAAATAAACATACACCATTTGAGAGACATCATATTATATTAGAGAGCTTTTGTTCTCACATCTTCTCTTCATCTCTCTTATTCACTCATATACAAACCTTGAGAGATTTAACTAGGGATTCAAAGGGCTTTTTCTCTAATTCAAAATTTCATAGAGATTTTGCTCTATTCTATACTTGAGAGATCTTATTGAGTTCATTAGAAATTTTGTTCTTCGCTTATATCATCTTCTTTCATTCATATCATTCGTAGAGTTTGAACTTCACTTATATTCATTAATACTCTAGTTGTGAGCTAAAATTTGTATATCTATCTTTGAGAGATTTCTTGTACTTCATTGTTCTTGTTACTATTTATTGTAAGGGTTGGTTTGATCCACCGGGTTGGTGTGACCCAAAGGAAGCCTAGGAGAAGGGTGTTCTCCTAGCAAGGAAGAGAAGCAAGGAGTTGCTTCATTAAAGGTTTGCTCTCCACCCGTAAGGACAAGTCATAGTAGATTGGGAAGTTTCAAGAGGGGTCTTAAGCTGAGGAGTAGGAGTTTCTGAACCTCGTTAAAATCGCCGAGTCATTGTTTGCAATTTCTCTTCCCTTATCTCTTTTACAATTATGCTATAAATTGTTTACTTTCATATCTTGATTATTGCATAATTGATTAAATTTTTTATTAGAAATTGTAAATCGATTAATTGTGAAAATTTGCAATTGACTCTATTCACCGCTCCTCTAAGTCAATTCTTAGGGAACAATATCTATTTTTATATATTAATTTAGTAGAAATGTAATTCGAAGACTTTTTAACTAACCATAGTGACTTAAAATTCATTAATGTAAAGTCTTTTGTTAAATGCTTTTAAAAAAAATTAATGAAACATACTATTAAAAATTCATCTTTATCTAGAAAGTCAGGTATGGGTATAGTCTAGGCAGTTTAAGCAAGATCAAGAAAAATTCAAGATTGCGATAATCAATTTCTGATTCACTTACACTCCAATTAACCGTGGACCGGCAATCTCGACCAGGTGACCCACAAAATAACAAATTATTTAAGAAGGATTTTGCTTTTTTTTTTTTTTTTTTTTTTTGGAAAGTATGCTTGTTCAATGGATCAAAGGATGCATATAAAAGACGAATTATTATCCCATCTACAGCAGTGACGGCATCACTACTAGTATTCTATCTATATCTCTGTTAATTTGAGAGTTCCTTTATGAACCTTTTTTTAAAGTGAGGGTAAATGTTTTGAGTGAGGGGTCATTTTTGGCGAGCTTGTATTGTTTCTTGAAGTTTATAGGGCATATCTATTATTATTATGGGTTCAAATTTTTTTAATTAAGTTGTTTTTCAGTCAAATTAATTATTTATATTTTTTCTAAATTTGTTTAATTTTTTATTATTCATAGGAATTTTTTTATTTAATGGAATTGCTGATGAATGTTAAAGTTGTTTTGAAACTAGTTAATGGGTAATTTATGTTAAAAGGTTGAGCCCCTCCTCATTCAATTTTCTGGCCGGAAAGGACCCACACACACACACACACACGCATGTATAATGAGACATGAGTTGTTAGTTTATGAAATTCTTAAATTTAAATTTTAATTAATTCGTCCTAACTGCTCGAAGCTTTTTGTTGAATATACTTTCTAATGCTGGCGTACAAAAATACGAATCAGGATATTTTGAAGTTGGTAGTTACAAATGATATGTTAATCAAGTCTTCTAGCAATTATTGTGTTGCATTCAATTTGAATAACAACTTATTGGAGTCTCGCTTAATCAAATTAAATTGGTTTCCAAGATCCATTATAATAAATATTTCAGTATTGGTGGAAGGATCAAACTATATTATCATTTGTTCAATTTAAATTAACACTTACAAGTATATATATGTTCAAACTAATTTTAATTGGTTTGATTTTTCTTTTTCTTTTTTTATTTTCATTCCCTGAAAACAATTTTATCCTTTTCCTTACATCAGAAGATTAGTACTCTCCCATAAATTTGAGGATCAATATCTCTCTATCTCTTGAGATGAGTGAATTAAAAACCTATTCTAAAATTAAGAGATGGTTTTATATAAACTCGTTTGAAAAAAACAAGGTGTACATAGTATGCAAGTTACTCATAAACGACCAAGTACATGACAAACATTTGGAAAAATCAAGTAATAATTCTTGTCATCACTTATCTAACTTTAATTTAAGACTTTTCTTCTCCCTTTCATTAGATATATAATTATTTGTATTTTCTTCTGCAGTTCACAAATGGTTCGGCTATGGCGATAGTTTGGAGTTTTTAAATTTTGTGACGCTAGATAATTTAATGATCTATCAAACAATTACTTAGTGGATGATATTTTCATTGTCGAAGTAAAATTTTGGCTTATACGTGAAGGGAAGAGTTTCTTATAACATTAAAGGCTACTTAATGGATGATACTTTTGTTAATTGCATAAGGCAAAGAGTTTGTTGTAAATAATAATATTTAGTGTGAATTTATAATTTAAATTCCAACTTTGCTATTTATACATGGTTTACATTTTTATATACTAATTTATTCTATTGAGAAGAGGGTATTATAGTTATTTTAAGTCTCGAGGGAAGTATTGGCACCAAATCGATAGTATATGAGACATGGACTTTTTTTGCATTATATCGATAGTAGATGGGAGTTTTTTTATACTTAACCCATATATTTACATTGAAATAACCACTAATATATTTACATCATAGATTACATCATCAATAACAATTACCTGCTTGGTGAGCAAGTTTGTTATCTTAGCTTAGCATCGTACTCCAAAAGATATAAGAAGGAAGCAAAAAATTACCTACATAACCCTCAAAATTATGAAAAGACATTCTTGACACATATTATGTCTTTTTTTCATGGACCAAAATTGCCTTTTTCAAATATTAGTTATATTATATAATTAGATATTAAATTATATAATTAGACAGTTAAAAGAATATTTAATTTAAATACTAATTAAATTTAATTGAAGTCTTTGGTCTCTTCCCATATTATCATAGCGGCACAATGGTGTGGCACTTTTCACAAAAAATTGTAACATAGTAACTTATACCAACAATCGTCTCACATTTTTTGTTTTTCACGTCATGCTCTTTGTATTTATCTTTATTTAACTTTCTCTAGTAAATTTGTGACATAAATTCATTTAAACTTTCTGTTGATTAGCACGTGGGACCTCCTTCAAACTAACTATAACAGATTGTGTGGATTCTTCCAAAATTATAACATGTGAGCCATGTTAGGTTGATAGGTGAGTTGTCTACTCAAACTCAAGCTATCTCAAACATAAACGAGTGAAGTAAAAAGTCTCTTATGAGAGTTTGATTTGATTTTAATTTGAAATCAAAACACCCTTATTCTTTTATTACTGTTATTATTTAATTGAGTTAGAATCAATTTTTAGGTGCATTTCATAAAACAAGCTTAACATGAACAAATTCAAACTTAACTCGTCATAATCGTGAGTATGAAAGAATATTCAGTTTAAGGGTTTAGAATTTACAGATTGGATAAGTTTTTAGAAAATTTAGAGAAGGTTAGGCCCTGCTTGGAATGGATTTATGAAAACTATTTTCTGTTTTTATAGTATCAAAATTTTGAAAACTGCAAAAAAGGTCTGCTTGGATCTGTTTTATAAAAACAGTTTTATGAAAACTGAGATAACAGAGTTGAGGTTTTCAGAGAACAACAATTTGTTGTTTTCAGAGTTTTGGGAACACTGAGATGCAAAATTGAAAACACGGAGAACTGAACGGGCTACTTAAAAGTACGGACAAAACTGCGTAAAACTCTCGCTCGTTTATAACATCGTCCACATATATCTCTACGCAACCTCTACAGCTCTCTCTTTCTTTAACAATAACAACAGTTTTCTCACATCAAATTTCCAATCCTCATATCTTGGTCATCTTTTTCCAGATTCTCCTCCTCTTTGAAGAGCCATCTCTCAGATTTCTTCAAGCCAGATCTGCACTTCTTTCCTCACAATCGTCTCTCTGTTCAGGTAGAACTCTCTAACCCTCAAATTTCTTTAATCCATACAAGATCTGCGATTTTTCTCACAATCGTTTATGATCTTATCAATTGTTAGAATTTTTTTCGATTTCTTTCACAATCGTTTTCTCTCTCTCTTCAATCCGTGCTGGGAATCTCATGGCTGCTTCAGTCGCAGGATCGGCCGCCGTCGCCTTCAAATCTGCTGGAGTTGCAGAGAAATCTGCACTTTCCGGCAATGCTCTTTCATTTCCGGACGCGCTGGGTCGATTAAGCTCCCAAATCGCATCAACTTGGATTGCAGATCGAGGAGATCGTTTTCTTCCCCCGGTATAACTTCTGTTTCCTTTTTTAAGCTTTTGATGCTCACACGATCACATCTAAATTTGTGACCTGTTTATGTATATTTATATGAATGTGCATGTTTACAAATGTGAAAAGCATGAACAATTTGAGTTGGATATTCCATGGAATTTAAATCTGTTCTTTGTGCTTTCCACACAGTTTTAATATCTTTAGAAATTAATTTCTATCATCTGATCTGGGTATAGTCTCTTTTTATTTTTTTGATGATGATTTTGAGTGCTTGTTAGATCCTCTCTGTTACTTCCAGTTGTTGTGCTGCGTCAAAGCAAAGAAACAGAACCCCACAAAATATTTTATTAATGTTTCACCAAAAAGAACTGACATGTTACCATTGGTAGACTAATGTTGAATCTGAAAAAAAAAATAAAAAATAAATAAATAAAGACAAAGTACAATTAAGAGTATGTTGCCCTGAATGTGAATGTTCTTCCAATTGAAGGGATGGAATTATCATAATAACACAAACAAGGGGCTATATACCGGCATCTAAACTATGGGTTGAGGCAGCATAAGTTTTTTTTTTTTTATCCAAGTAAAGACTTGGAATTCTCAGAGGTCCCTGTCATTGGACTCATTGAACCTACAGTAAGAAGGTCTTTGTGCTGCAAACCTCATTAATCTCACGTGAATCCAATCCTTTAATATTAATCCTCAACCAAATAAGGACACAAGATTATTTCGTAATTGTCCTCCACCAAGAACAGGCAGTGGATTACTTTACTTCAATGTCCATATTTAAAACAAACCTAATACTTATTTAAAAAAAAAAAAAAAAAAAAAAAAAAAAAAAACCTAAATGCTCATCCTGGCTGCGGAGAGCTATAACACAAAAGGATTTCTTCTTTGACATTGCAATTTCTGTTACTTTGTGAAAGGACCGTGAATCATATAATACAAAGTTACTAACAGATTATTTTATTTAAAGATTCTACTCTATCACTTGTATTTTAACTGAATAAAGATATACTCAAGAGGGTGTCATTAGCTTCTAAGTTATATTGACTCCTTTCATTGCTGAAAAAGGGTTTACAAAAAACAATTTTATATTTTGGGAGTTAAAAAAAAAACTGTTCTTCAATTTTTTAGTTTAATTATAGCACATCAACTTTGTTTTGTCTAGGTTCTTGGAAAATCAAGATGGGCATAGATTGGAGTGACACATCGTCTTCATCGTCTAGTGATTCAGATAAAGATTTTGATGACCTTGTAGATTGCATGTATTTGAATTTGATACAGGAGAATGAAGATTCATTTAAATCTAAGGTACCAAAGAGAACTTCAAGGTTAACAGGTCATGAGTATGTTCAGGAATTGTTGAATGACCATGCTGGTGGATGTTTTGATTTATTACGAATGGATAGAGAAGTCTTTCTGAAATTATGTCGAATATTGAGAGAACATAAATTGTTGGAAGACACACATCCAATTTCAATCGAGAAGTCAGTGGCAATGTTTCTGTTCATTATAGGACATAATATTCGTCATGCAGTGGTAGCTGAACGATTTCAACATTCTGGCGAAACAGTTTCTAGACATTTTAAGTAGGTATTGAGAGCAATATGTCGCCTTGGGAAATTCCTCATACGTCCACCACAAAGCAATGATGTGCCTTCTCATATACTTCATAATCCTAAATACTATCCTTGGTTTAAGAACTGCATTGAAGCAATTGATGGAACACATATAAGTTCTTTTGCACCTGCCAGCAAACAAACTCCTTATAGAGGAAGAAAGTCTATAATGATACAAAATGTTATGTGTGTTTGCTCATTTGATATGCTATTTACTTTCGTTTACGCGGGTTGGGAGGGAACGGCAAATGACTCAAGAGTTTTTATTGATGCAATTACTAGAGCTGTTGCACGATTCCCGATACCACCTGATGGTATCACTACAACAAATTTGGGTTATTGCCATGAAATTTTTTGCACTGGTGTTAATTGATAAATCAATTAAAAGGGCTACTCCATATTTTATTTTGATTATAATGTAGAGTCAAAGATGCTTCAGTGTTGATCATATAGAAAAATTATTTAAGAGTCCGTAATTCGAACAAGCAAATGAGATAGAGTATGGACTACACCAGGCCTCTATTTCATTGGGCTGTTCGGAATTCAGACTCCGTATATATTTAAGTAAATATTAGGGGCTCTTTGGTATTTAGGATAATGAATTTCTTGTACGAATTGGGTTTGTCTATTGCTGAGGGCTTTCTTGGTTCGGTGTCTCTTCTCATTTAACTGAAAAAGTAACAGTAAAAAAAATTATTTAGTAAATAATTTTTTAACAACAAAGGTTTTTTTTTTATTTTAAAAAAGCCTTTATATTTCTCTGAGAGATCTTAAAACCTGTTTTATTTTATTTATTCTTTGTTGTTGAGTGAACCAAACAAATTCTTACTTTCTTAATTATCTCAATTCTCAGAAGTACTAAAATTATTATTGCTTGTTATTGAGTGGATGTTACTTATCGGGAATACTAGTGTGACATGAATTCTACAGATCATAACCTGTGATGTCGAACAAGTTGCCCATGATTATAGAGAGCGGTTTCACCATCAGAAAAAGGCCAAATGGGCAGGGTGACAATTTTTGAGGTACTTTCGACTAGCCTGTTTTGACTCTAAAAGATCCCTTTCCGATTGAAAATGAGTCAACCTGCAAAAGCTGCTGATGTACTCTACTTTTTGGTCAACTTCCATTGTTTAGGCTGCCTAGAAATCGTGTTTTCTGATTTTGAATATTTCAAAAAAAAATTCTAGAAGTCTAAATGGTTCTATCTTTTTATTTTTGATATTTAGTAGTTTCTAGTGGTTATGCTTTTTATCTTCTTTTTTTCATAATTCTTAGAGATGTTAAGTTTCCTAATTCCGTGAGGTTTTCTTTATTATAAATACATGCACTACAAAAGCTGTTTATTCATTGATTAATAATATTTTCAAAATTCTTTTTGTCTATACTTTATGGATTAAATGTTGTTTGTTGTTTATTTATTAATGTTCATAACTTCTGCTTTTTCAACCTCTACTATTGATCCTTGTCTCAAATGGTATATAAACTAATTGTGAATATTCGTTAACAAGACGAATAATTCAATCAAACCTCTAATAAATTATGTCTCTCACATGTTTAATTTCAAAGACACGTTAGCTAAAGAATGAATGATCTATTTGAAGAATTTAGGGATAGAAAAGGATAAAGTGTTAGAGAATTATCGAAGTGCTAGAAATTATTTCAAAATAGCTTAACTAATATTCGGATTGTTGGAATAATAGTTTTATTGATATAGACCTAGTTTATAACATTAGCTTAAACTATTTATTCATATGGTTAGGATCAACACATTACTTGTGGATTCCAATCCGATTCGGAAGCCTACTAGGTGCCATTTCTTTTCAGTGAGCTAAAGATGAGCAGTGCTGGGTTGTGGTGAAGAGAGCATGGGCTACTGGTGTGCAGGGTTCTAATTTGTTTAGAGATACAAGGGGATATGAAAAGTCATAATATATAAGTCTGTTATAGAAAGGGTCTCAGCAAGATTTTAGGCCATGCTGTGATTCCAAAGGATGTGAACACAATGACTTTTCCAAGGTGTTAGTTATGCAAACAATACATACCAGATTCAACCTTCCTGTGCTATCAATACTCAGAAATATTCACAATAGTACTAAGGTTTTTATCCTTTTTTGAGCAGATTTTTCTTATCATTATCAAATGAAAATGGTGACTAACAGGCAAATTCAATATTTTCTTGGGTGCTAAGGTTTTATCCTTTTTAAGCAGGTTTATTTATTTATTTTCATTACATGAAATTTTAGTGACATTTTTTTTTTTTTTTTTTTTTTCTTCTAAATCGCAATTATAGGTATCCATGTCAGAATTGATCTTGTGTATGGGTTTACAGAATGGTTAAACTCTTTTTGTTTGGTGGTATGCTCTTCTTCTTTGGTTAATTTTGATTGTCTACAAAATTAATTATTTAGCCAAAGTAGATTAAAAAAAGTTAACATTAAAAATTATGTAAAACTACCTAGTCTATTAAAAATGAAGTTAGTAACTTCTAGTTTGGTGTAATATATTGCCCAATAGTCTATAGTAAAAGTCTGGTTATGTGATTTGAGTTATTAAAACTCATGGTCTAATTCTCTACCTAATAGAAATTTCAAGTTAGTAAGTAGTGATAACCTTATAAAAAATTATTATCAATTTTGTTTCACAAAGTAGATATACTTAACTGATGTTGATTTTTCAAAGCTTAGCTTATTAGTGATAAATCTTAATAGTAGCATTTTGTCTTTTCTATTTTGTACTTTCTTGGATTGGTATTCTTATTTTCTATTTATACTTTTTCTTGGATTTTTTTTTTCTTTTTTTCTTTTTTTTTTTTTTTTTAAATTTTTATTTTTACATAGGCACTAATTGTATTTATTCATTGTTTGTTTTGTAGATTTTTGAATGGGCTCATGCTACAAGACTTCAAGCTCTTTTTGTTTAAGATGGGTAGGTCTTTGAACCCTTTGTTTAGGAATTTATAGCTCATTTTTGTCTAAGATCTTGAAACATTTTATTTAAGATACTAGCTTGTTTTGGTCCAAATTATTAGAGTTGAAATTGTTTTAGATGCGAATACTCATTTTTTACGCAATGGGCGTTATTATGTATGTTGTAAACAATACATTTTTTGGTTGGTGTAACTTATGTAATATCAAATATTTATTTGTTTGCATAATCGTGTTGATATGATAATTTTTTTTTAATATTATTTCTTTTGTTTATAATGTTACTAATTTACATGTTTACAACAAATTCTTATTGTGCCGTGATAAATATGTGGCTTATTTTTTGTATTTGTCACAATACATAATTTTTGTTATTAAATTAAATTTTATTTTATTAATAATAGAATAGCCACGGATAAATTCTGTGGCCTATTTTGGATAGTTGCCACGACATGTATTCGTGGGTAATTAAAATTATAGCCACGAATAAATTTTGTGGCCTATTTTGGGTATCTGCCACGACGTATATTCATGGGCAATTAAATTTATAGCCATGAATAAATTCTGTGGGAAAAGACCTATTCTACCACGATAAATATTTTCGTTGCAAAAGGATTGATTTAGCCACGATTAATTCCTATATTGGGATTGCTACTTGCCACGAAAGTATTATTATTTAGCCACGAAATAGCTTGTGGTAATAGAAGGTATTTTACCACGAGTTTAAATTTGTGGCAAAAGGTTCACATTTTGCCACGAAAATTTTTAGTCGTGGTTATTGGCATTCTGTGATGGAGCTACGCCCACGACTGAGCCACGAGCTATTTCTTGTGGCTAAAAGGGTTTCGCCATGAAATTTGAAAGTTTTTGCCACGAAGTGTCTTGTGGCTAGAACCCAAATTTGTTGTAGTGTATTATTATTACTTTTGTCTTTTTAATATTAATAATAGCATGCTACTAACCCTAATAAAATTTAAATAATTTTTTGCAGGGAAATACTATGTAGTTGATTCTGGTTACCCATGCACAAAAGGATTTCTGCCTCCGTATCGTGGTCAAAGATATCATCTACAAGATTATAGGGGCAACAATCGGCAACCTCGTGGTGCAAAAGAATTGTTTAACTATCGGCATTCATCGCTTCGCAATGTCATTGAACGTTGTTTTGGAGTACTAAAGGCTCGTTTTCCCATTTTAAAGCTTATGCCTTGCTATAAGTTGGTTAGACAACGACTCACAATAACTGCTTGTTGCACGATTCACAAATTCATTCGTCAAAATATAATAGATGATCGTTTTTTTATGGAGTATGGGGAAGAAGATGTTAATGTCACTGATGGGGGGAATGGTAACAGTAGTATGCTGGTGTACTGAATGCACTTAATTTATCTGACGATGGTGCAACACAAATGGGAGCCTTTAGAACTCATCTGACAAATCAAATGTGGGCATCATTCAGAGGCAATGGTTGATGAAGTTATTTTTATAATTCTCCAATGTTTTGCTTTGATTACCTATTTGTGTAATTCTCTAATATTTTGTTTTGGTTATGTATGACTATAATTAATGTTTGTACAACTAAAAGTGCATATGACACTTTGAAGTAATTAATGTAACTCTTTTATTGTATTTCAATTTAGTCAAATTTTAATTAAACTTGATATATTGTATTTGTGCAACTTTTTTTAAATATACTTGCTAAAATGAATTCACCTCCATCACTTATATATATATATATATATTAATAGTTAATATCATAAATTAAAGAAATAAAAGAGTGATGTACAATAATATTTTTATTTATTTTCTTAGTTCAGAAAACTATTTTAAAAAACTTTACAACCAAGTAGTTTTATGAGTTTTTGTTTTTCAGAAACTGTTTTGTAAATTCTCTTAACCAAGCAGGCTTGAGATCTGAAAAAACTGAAAATTTTTCTCTAAAAATTGTTCTCGAGAATTGTTCTTGAGAACTATTCTCTGAAATGCAATCCAAGCATGACCTTATTTTCAAAAATTTACTAATTTTAGGGTTTAGCCTTTGACGATTCATTTTATAGAAAATCATTAATTGTAATTGTATTTTAACATAGTTTTATTTTATGATGTATAGTTGTTGTTGATCTAGACTTTTTTATCTTTATATTTTGTTGCCTTGGGCTCCAAGTCTTTGCCTTCCGGTTGTGTGATTAATCAATAAAAAGAAAGGGGCTTGTGATTAACCAATAAAATAACACGTTCATGATTATTAGTATTATTAATTTTTTTTTTTCTTTTGTTCTTTTTGCATTGAACCAAGAAAGCTTACCTATCATGTTGAAAGACCTAGCATATTTTATGATATCTATTTTTATTTATTAATTTAGTAAAAATGTAATTCAAAACTTTTTTAACTTCAATAGTGACTTAAAATTCATTAATGTCATTACTTTTGTTAAATGATTTTAAAAATGTAACAAAAAATATTAAAAATTCAACTTTATCCATCCAATCGTGACTGCAAATCGTGCGCTGGCCTTCTGGTCAATAATGGTAGGGATTTGAGTCCTTGTCTTGGGCCGGCAAGTGACCACAAAATGACAAATTATTGGTTTAAAATCCATATTTAAGAAGGATTTTGCCTTTTTTTTTTTTTTTTTGTGGGAAAGTCTTATTTAAACTAGGATTAGTATTTAGAAACCAATGTTTAATTCTTATTTCGCAAGGACAATTTGACGTATGATCGAGTCTATAAATAGATACACATAGATACTAGTGATTAAAAGAGATTTGTTCAATTGATATGGAAGAAAGGATGGATATAAACCACAATTATCCCATCGACAACGGTAGTGACGACGACGACATGACTACTGGTATTCTGTCTCTATCTCTTTATATATTTGTTAATTTGGCGAACTTGTATTGTTTATTGAAGTTTATGAGGCATATCTATTATTATTATTAGGTTTCAAAAAAATTCAATGTAAGATGTTTTTTTTAGTCAAATTAATTATTTAAATTTCTTCTAAATTTGTTTAATTTTTCATTAGTGAGCTGACATTACCTCTCCATATTTAGCTTCAATATGGAGAGGTAACAATAGTGATTCCGGCCAGTTGCTATATGCTTGTTGTCTCCGTCTCGGTTTGCAATTGGAGTTGTTAGTTTTTGATCGCCATCCATTCCGGCCACTTGCAATTCGCTTTTTTATTAAAAAATATTTTTCCTCCTCCGCCTTCCACTACCATCCCCTTGCCCTGCAGAAGTCCATCACCTCCTTCTCCGTTGCCACTGTCGTCTCATACGACGGTTTGCCCCAAAATTCGTCGGGCCGCGCTTCCACCGCCACCTCACTCGACGCCGTGTGCTTATACAGTTTCGATTCCACGCCGCCGCCGTTGATGATTACATCCTTCGATCGGTGTTTGATTCAGTGTAGGCCGAAGTCGGAATTTCCTTCTATATGTCTCTGATGGGTTATTGTGATTGATATAGAGATAGGCATGGACGGTGAGAACGAAGCTTTTGGATTTGACTTGGGGCTCAATTATTGGGTGTTGGGTCGGTGGTGGTGGTGGTGGTGTTGGGTGCCGGTGGGGAGGGGACAAACAACTGTGACCTAATAGATTCGTGTATGATTTAATACACACACTAATAAGAAAGCTCTCAATTGATGATTCCTATTGATGGATTAATGAATTACTCCGTATGATTACCACAATACTTCACTATTTTGACTTGGATAATTTCTTTTCATTCCATGGAATATAATCTGTTTGTTTCTTTAATGGTATCTAATATTTCTTTCCATTAGAGCACCGCGATATGTTTATGAGTGCGAGAAAGAGGAAAACAAATTGGTGGAGAAATATAGAGAGATACATGAAGGGAGGGTTGTGAATTGGGTTTTGTTGATGCCTTTGCATGTATATGTCTTTAATTATTTGGTTTATTTTCAATTAAGTGTATCTCTTTCTAAATTATAGTCTGTAATGTGGATTAACAATTGGCTATGGTGCTGGCCATGGTGGGAGGGATGAGGTGACTCTCTCTCTCTCTCTCTCTCTCTATATATATATATAATGAACTTCCAATAGAAAAAGTAGAGATATGCATGTGTGTTCTTAATCTTAGAATTGAGTTTTCCTCACTTTTTATTCTCTTGTTTTTCAATATTTTATAGGAATTATAAGAAGAAAAAGAGATGCTCCACCAGCTGATTACATACTTAAAATAAAGTCATTCCCTCTTTTGTGTGATATACTTTCTAGTGCTGATGTACAAAATTACCAATCAGGAGCCTTTGAAGTTGGTGGTTACAAATGGTATGTTAATTAAATCTTCTAGCGATTATTGTGTTGCATTCAAAACTACTTGTTGTTTGAGTTCATACATACACTTTATATTCTATATATCGGACTAGTTTTTCTACAATTTTATAACTTTCTAACTTCTTGGTTTCATTTTTTTTTTTTTATTGAAATTTACCAACTAAAGATAAATAAACAGAACTGTAAAAACAATTGATTTATGTGTTTGTCAGTAATTAATAACATAATTATTAATATTAAGTGATACTTATTATTTTATTTTGCAGGAAATTGTCTATATATCCTAATGGAGACTTGCAAAGAAAAGGAAATGGTTATATTTCTCTTTATTTAGCACTCGAAGATGGAGATTTACTTCCTCCTGGATTAGAGATTAGTATAGAATTTAAGTTATTTTTATATAATCATATTGAAGACAAATATTTGATTGTACAAGGTAGCTCAAGCCCTTTTCTCATGATTACCTTTATAGTCCTATAATATTTTTCATTTAAACAAATTTAGTTTAATTATTTTCTCTCTTTTAATTGTTTCAACTCTTCTAGATGGTGGTGAGAGAGTATGTCGATTTCATAAGTTGAAAACTGAACATGGCTTCTCTCAATTCATCCCTATTACTACGTTCAACAATGCTTCAAATGGATATTTAGTAAACGGCTCTTGTGCTTTTGGCGCTGAAGTTTGTGTTTTGAAAAATAAAACCAAAGGGGAGTGTTTGGCAAGTGTATTGGTTCCTGATATTCGCGGTAGTAATTTCATTTGGAGGCTTGCTTACTCAAAATTGGATTCCAGGATCCATTATAGTAAATATTTCAATGTTGCTGGAAGGAGCTGGTACGTATAATTGAAATTGTTCAATTTAAATTAAATTAACAATTACAAGTATATATATGCTCAAACAAATTTTTGTTTGATCTTTTTTAATTTTTTTTTTCAATTTTTTTTTTCTGAAAATTATTTTATCCTTTTCCTTGTATCAGGAGGTTATTACTCTCACCTAAATTTGAGGAAAAATATCTCTCTTTATCTCTTGAGATGAGTGAATTGAAAACCTATTCTAAAATTAAGAGATGGTTTTATACAAGCTCATTGGAAAGAAACAAGGTGCACGTAATATGCAAACTGTTCATAAAGGACCAAGTACATGACAAACATTTGGAAAAATCAAGTAAATATTCTTGTCATGCACTTATCTAACTTTAATTTAAGACTTTCTTTTCTCTTTCATTAGATATATAATTATTTGTGTTTTCTTCTGCAGTTGGGAAATGGTTCAGCCATGGCGATAGTTCGGACTTTATAACTTTTGTTTCGCTAGATGATTTCAGTGATCCATCAAACGGTTACTTAGTGGATGATATTTTCATTGTGGAAGTAAAATTTTTGCTTATATATGGAGGGAAGAGTTTCTTTTAACATTGTTAATGGATAATACTTTTGTTAATTGCAAAGAGTTTGTTGTAAACAATTATTTATAGTTTGAATTTATAGTTTAAATCCAACTTTGTTATTTATTATAAATGTGAAAATTTTAGTTTATACGTATATGTCGTATTGCGGCCAAGATATCTGAGTTTTGAGAGAGAGCTAAGTTTGGCAGCAGTACTCAAGAGAAACTGTATTGTCACAGCAACCTGTCAAACCGGGACCCAATATATCTAAGGAATTGATTGCAAACCAACTGTCAGTAAGAGTGATTAATAGGAACTTAAATGATTTTATCTAAGCGCGGAATCACCTTGATTCGCGATAACCAATCCCTGGTGGAAATCACAGAATTCTCCCTTCTTCGACTAATGATAGCTTTCGGCGTCGAAATGCTCGTGCTTGTTTAGATTGATTCTGTTGCATCCTTTCAACTATTCTTAAAGAAAAAATCTGCACTTTCAGTCCGAGTGAAGCTATAGCTACATGGCCTTACTTTCTGCAACTCCTGAGCCTTTGACGTGGACCTAACCAGTCTAATGGTGGGTCTGACTTATCCCTAGGACTCGAAGCTTTTCAATGTGGAAAGCTTGGAACATCTGCAGCATTGGAATGAGCTTCGGGAATAGCGGTCAGAGGATTGATAGGAGCGTTGGTACAGTATAGATAGCAGGGGGACTTTAGTAGCGGGAAAGAGCGTAGGAACCCTTCCCAAGCCTTCTATTTTAGATAGGATTTTCTTGATCTGAATGTGAAAATCCGTTGTAAAGTAGTCGCGCAAGGGTAGCGGTTTCTGTTTGATTTTGCGGACTGACTCTTGGGTAAGGATACCAATACCGAACCTGTGTTGGCCGGATTTGAAATCATAACTAAAAACCCTCCGAAACGCCTTTTCTAATGGCTTAGGTTCTTCAGATAGAAAATGAAATTAGATTTGTCATAAAATGCTATTAAAGTTGTTTCAAATTCGATGGAAATTGTTACAAAAACAGCTCTTACAAATACTCCATTAGCACAATCATCAATCTCAGACAAATTGAACATTCTTGGTCACTTAGCAGCTATGTCGCTCAGTTCACTCTTGATTCTAGGGAGCATTCCTTGGTGGAAGTACAAAGAACACTATGTTCAAACTCGACCTCTTCTGATGCTCGTGCATTAGCAGGTTGAAAAGAAGAGCTAGTCTTCCAGTGCATGCTTATAGGTTTCCTGAAGTGATCATGATGTGGCTCTAAGGTCGGTGGTAATCAAGGTTGTTAGAATCGGAATTCTAAGTAGGATCGTTGAGGGGTCTATAGGATCGGAATCGTAGAATCGGATAGAGAATCGTAAGATTCTATAAAACTATTAGAAAATTAATTCAAACTAACTTTCTAAATCAAGATAAATTAAGAAGAATAAAACAAAATAAAGAATTTTTTTGAAATTTTAGTCCATACCTTCGAAATTCAAAGTTTGATCGTCTTTACACGTAACATTTGTTTATTTGGTTTTTGTTTTTAAACTTTAATTTTTTAATGTAATTAGGCTAAAGAGTTGGACTTTATATTTAAAACGATTAAATTTTTTAGTCCAAAACTAATTATACGCCCAAATAAATTAAGAACAAAATAACACAATTTAGTAGAATCGGTAGAATCGTAAGATCCTATGAGATTCTACGATCCTACTTCCAATTCTATAGATTCTACTAAGATTCTTTTTCCCAAAGATTTTAGATGGGGGGATCAATTTGTCAATTTGGGAAAATAGTAGTGTAAGTAGGGATCGTCCCATGGGAAAGGAGGTGTATTTTTGCTTGGAAATCAATGTCGGAGTAGTAGGTCGAATGATCAAAGATGGTTTGGTTGGTTAATTAAACTACAATTTAAACTAAATAGAAGCGATGCAAAGCAACTAGAGTAAATGAAGTGTAGAGAATATAAGAGAAAGGTCTTGGGACTTAGAGTTCACCACTAAGCACCACCTTCCTAAACATTCAATTTTTGATGGATTAGGAGGATTATATGTTGCAAAGGAAAGTGTGTGCCATTAATTAAATTCTCAAGCATGGATGACCAAGTAGGCATACATTGTCTAGCCAAACTAGTGAATGGCACAACATATCAAATTAAGTCATTATATGTTCCTTTAAGTCCACAACTAATGCACATCATCGAATTAGAGAAATATAATACTTGCATTCATAAGTATGGAATATCAAACAATAAGCATGGATTGTCCTCCTATCTAAGAAAGTAAGGCAATTACACTATAACTAAGTTAGTGACATGAAAATTAAACTAATTAAACTAAGGAGGAGGCACAATCCATCAAGAAATAAGTATGTAGCATCAAACAAACCACAAGAGTAATCCATTTAAGCACTATGCCTTGACCATCACTAGATTCATAGTATCAACACACATAGACATGCATCAATATCACAAAATCTAGAAATAAACGCATGAACATTAACTCTAGCATACATAGACATATAGATAGAATTAAATGATTAATTGAAAGTATTAAACCACATAAATCATTGTACAAACAAGATTCATGTATATATAAGATGTTAAGACAAACATTACAACACAAATCCCCTTTAATGACAAAGCATCAAAGTCTAGGAGGCATGTTTAGGGCTAACTCTAGCCCCAAGAAGATGTTTAACCACTCATTGATGTTGTCATCCAACCTTCAAGGGCTATCTCCATGGTAGAAATGATTTTTTTCTCCTTGGTGGAAACCCTAAATGAGTGGAAGAACTTTTCCCAAATGGTATAATTTCTCTCTCTAATCTCTAGCCAAGCCTCGCTAACTAACCAACCTCTTTACTCAAAATAGCCAAAATCCTTATATATGTAGTTCAAGTGTCACACCCAATGGTCAAACCTCGTGCACTAGGACCTCCAAATGATTACACCACAAGCACACATTTAATTTGACTTGAAATCAACTTTTCACACAACTTGAGGCAATTCGATCGTGTTACTTGGATCGATTGAACCTTGGCGGCGTACTTTTTGGATAAAGACAAGGTTGTAATATTTTTGGAAAAAGGACAAAAGTGGTAGGTGAGGATAAGATCAAAGGGGTTCGATCGATCAAAGGAAATGTTGGATCGATCGAAGAAGATATTTTGTTGAGGATAAGGACAAAAAGCTCGATCCTGGCATGGTTGAATCGATTACTGTGTGATCGATCGAATCTTGGGTTCGATCGATCATGGAGAACTTCCTTCACTATTTTACTTCCATTTTTCTCTTTTTTCCATTAAGCTTGAGATTGCTTCTTTAAAAGCTCTAATTCGGCTGAATTAACTTATTTTGGGAATAAGTGCTTGAAAAGGGAAATAACACGAAATTATACTAAAACAGGAAAATAAGTTAAATGAGCACTTTTCAACGTTTATCAAATAGAATCGTAAAATTATGAGATCTAGAAAAGATTTTACAAATCCTAATTTGCATTGAACACTTTAAAATTTTGTTACAAGTTCACAAAAAAAAAAGGTCAAAAATAATATGAGACAAGCTTAAAATACAAAACACTAGGAGATCAACCAACCAAAATCATTCGCATCCATGCGGTCCATGCTACACGCGCTGATCCATAGTATAACAGTTTCATAAAAGTATATAATTTGATAACAAAAACTCTTCAAGCTAAATGAAAAAAATGAGTACATTTACTTAAATATCAAAAGTATATATATTTTTTCCCCGTAATTTTAAATAATGGTGTAAAAGAATGTATGTACAAAATTAATCTTGTAAGTTAATCAGCAAGTGAGATACTAACAAAATGAGATGTAAATATTTTTTAATTGATAAACTATTAGTAGAACAAGCAAAATAAGTTGCTAGAATTTACCCTTTTCTTTTCCAACACTACTCAATCCAAATGAGTCTTTATGTTACTTTTTCAAAACAAAAAACCTGCATTACTAAAATTATATAAGCCATATAATATGAATATTTTATTTGGCAAAATCGATCAAACTGTTGAAACAAATCTACAACTAATGACTCAGATTTACAACTAAACAAGTGAAGTGACTAAGAGGGAGAAAAAATTGTAGGACCATAGGTTTCTGTCTCAAATAGCATCTGAAACTAGATGGGATCATGGTAAGGCTAGATCAGAGGTTGAGAAATGAGGTTGGTGTCTCTCTCCTTAAATAAAGACATTAATTAGATTTTTCAAAATCAAAGTTAAAGAGATGAGAAAGAAGACTGACATTTGTAGAGGAAAAAAAGAAAAAAAGTTGATTTCATAGAAAAAGGAAATTTTAACTGTTTCTGGGGAGCATCATGCTTTAAAGTTCATCATCGTATGTGTAACGTGTGGGCGCTTGCCTATTTACTCAAAAGCTCAAACTGTTAGGTAGTGCTATATACCCATCCATTTATACCCAATCATTTTCCCATCTGGATCTGATATGGAACAAATGACCCTTGATATGTTCTCCACCACCCAAACTCACAATGCCCTCGTTGCGGCTCAGGCCACCTTGCCTACCCGAGGTGCTCACCCGGACGCATTTTGGGCCGGTCACTTGGTGTGACACCCGATCAAGGAATGGTCTGGCTCTGATACTAACTGTAAAGAGTGGGCGTTTGTCCATTTACCCAAAAACTCAAACTATTGGATAGTGCTGCATACCTACCAATTTATACCTAATCACTTTCCCATCCGGATCCAATGTGGGATAAATAACCCTAGTTACAGTACGGCTATATGACATTAAATAAAAAGCGAAAAAGTTAAAATGTGACTGTTGTACGAAGCATAATGGTTAAAGTAATGGCATGTCAAAAAGAAAAAACAAAAGAGAATTCCATTTTCAATCGCATTGTGATTTTTTGAAAAGAGTATATGTGTGTGTGTATATATATATATAATTTGGAATGCCTAGTATAGTCAACTATCGTCTTTCTCTCGTCTTTTTCCAATAACTTTATGTGATGCCCAAGTTTTACAAACCCAGTGCGTCAGCGAGTAACCCAATGAATTGATCTGAGAACAGATCCAAAATGCTGAAGCAAAGAAAATGAAATGGTCACTAGGGATAAGCACAAACCCTAAGACCCGAAATGGACTTTTACGAAGCCACGAAACTCAAAGAATAAACTGAAAGTGAAAGTTAAGGTCAAATAGTGCCTCTTGGCACCGCTGACACCAAAAGGGAACAAACTTGTTACCAACAAGCCAAACATAAATTCTCATCTCCCTGTGGGTTCAACACCTTCTCTATAGTATTATCCTACAAGATTCGTCCTATTGCGAGTGGTTTAATTTTAATCGGTACACAAACCGACACAACACGTGAGAAAGTTATAAATATTAATCTTAGTTTAAATAAGACTTTCCAATAAATAAATAAATAAATAAAATCCTTCTTTAATATGAATTTTAAACCAATAATTTGTTATTTTGTGGGTCAACTGGCGACCCAGGACAAGGACTCAAATCCCTACCAACCATCATTGGGCCAAGACTGCACAGTAGGCTAGTCCACGGTTAATTGGAGTGTAAGGGAATCGGAAATCGATTATCGCAATCTTGAATTTTTCTTGATTTTGCACAAGCTACCTAGAGTGTACCCATACCCGACTTTCTAGATAAAGTTGAATTTATAATATGATTTATTAAATTTTTAAAGATCATTTAACAAAAGTAATGACATCAATGAATTTTAAGTCACTATTGTTACTTAAAAAGTCTTCAAATTACATTTTTATTAAATTAATAAATAAAAATAGATGTCATAATTCATAAAATATGCTAGGTCTTTCAACATGATAAGGTAAGCTTTCTAGGTTCAATGCAAAAATAATAATAATAATAAAATATAATATAATAATAATAATCATGGACGTGTTATTTTATTGGTTAATCATAAGTCCCTTTCTTTTTATTGGTTAATCACACAACCCAAAGGCAGAGGCCCAAAGACCAAGAGCCCAAGACAACAAAAAAATAAATAAAAGGAAAGGCCTAAAGCCCAATTCAATAACAACTGTACATCATAAAACAAAACTATGATAAAATACAATTATAATTCATGATTTACTTTAAAATGACTCCTCAAAGACTAAACCCTAAACTTAGTAAATTTTTGAAAATAACCTTCTCTAAATTTTCTAAAAACACTCCAATTTGTAAATTCTAAACCCTTAACC